TCTTCTCCTTCCTCTCTTCTCTCGTCCTCTTCTTCGTAAGCCCAAGCAAACGCGCAGCCCGCAACCCCCACTTGCAACACATCACGCATGAATAATCGACATTATTTGAACAAAATAAGGTTTTTCATGTCAAATTCGACCATGAAAACTCTAGATCAATTTGACCTTTAAAACCCAAATTCAAGCCAATTTCGGGGTTTTGATGGAATTCAAGGTAAGTTCTCTTTTCTCTTTATCTTATTTTGTTTATTGAGATTTTTTTTTTTGAATTTTATGGTGATGTGCCGTAGAATTGCGGTGGTGGTGGGTGGTTTGTGTTCAAGGTAAGGTTTAAGGTGGGATTGGGCTAGTTGTTTCGAATGGATCTGGTTTGGGTGGGGTGTTGGAGGTTTGGGATATGGGTCGTGGTGGGTGGGAATCTGGTTTAGGTTGGGGTTCTGGTGGGGGTGTTGGTGGGTTGGGATGGGGGTCGTGGTGGGTGGGAATCTGGTTTAGGTTGGGGTTCTAGTGGGGGTGTAAGTGGGTTGGGATGGGGGTCGTGGTGGGTGGGAATCTGGTTTAGGTGGGTTCTGGGCGTCAAATGGGGTCAGGGTTTAGGTTAGGGTTTGGGTGTTTTAGGTGGGTGGGTGGATCTGGGTATGGGTTTGGTGGGGTTTGGGTTAGGGTGTTTTAGGTGGGTGGATCTGGGTATGGGTTTGGTGGGGTTTTGGTTAGGTTAGGGTTCGGTCAGGGTTTGGGTTAGGTGAGACTGGTTTATGGTTCACTAGTGGGTGGCGCTGGGTGGTCTGGGCTGGTCTGGGCTTAATGTAACACCCCCAAATCTCCCTCTACGTAAATACTATATTTATACGTATAAGATACCGTAGAGATAGACTTGGGCATATTACCGCCACGTGAAAACGTAAGGCTTTTTAACTACTAATAATGACAGTAGAAAAATAACTGACTTTATTCATAATGTAGTAACTACATTATATAGTTTGAAAAAGAAATAATACTCCAAATAATACATGTTCGACTCATGAATGAACAAACTCGACTCATGAATGAACAAAATCCTATCTAAGTGATCCCAATCCCGACTCAAGTATGCGCACGATCAACTTCAATTCACACCTGAAATCAAGATTGCTTACCAACAGTGGTAAACAGGGCGAACCAAAACAAAAAGGAAAACGGGTTAGCAAAAACGCTAAGTACATATAAGTGCAAGGCATGTAAATGCTTTTATTAGACAAACATGCTTTCGAAATAATTATTCCAATTCAAACTTGCCAAAAGTCACTTTCCAAAATTAGACCTTCCAAATTTAAACCTTTCAAAATTGGTATCGTCCTTTAATAGAAACTTTCCCAACCAATAGAATTCCAATTTTAGACGAGTTTCCAAAATCAACTTTCCTCACCTAAGTGTGCACACCCCCCAAGCAAGTTAAACTGTACTCGAGGAAAGACTAGATCATACAAAGCTCATGGTCTTAATTAACCAGTCCCGGGTAGAGGGACAATAAATATTAAATACTCAGGCCCATAATGAGCTGCAAATTTTAAATAAATTCCTTTAATTCAATAACATGTAATCAAGTGGTTTATAAACAACTTTTGTTTCGGGGTTTTCTGAGGAGTCCTGCGGGAGAGTTACAGCACCAGGAATGCACGCCTGACTTCTGTACCTACACAACCACGAAACTCCGATTGGGTGGAGTTCCGCCTCCGAAGATCAAGTTAGTATGATTCCGGATGAGATTACGTGCGGGAAGTAAATGGGTATCTCTCTCGGATTCCGGGAGATTCCGCAATTAATATTGCTCGGGTTTGGTGTCGGTATTTATGAATGCCAATAAATGAGGATGATTCCTCTATTTATAGCAGATGAAGATCTACTCCTCCCTTGGGGGTACAATGCCACGTGGAACCCTCTGGTTGGATGCCCATGGTGCTATAGGGATGTGACACGTGTCAGGCCCTCATTGGGCCACGTGTCTAGGGTAGTTTTTACCCTAAACATTTTCCCCTCAGGCGCTGACGTGGCTGTGCCACGCGGCGCCTGTGACACGTGTCAACAGGCAGGAGGGCGACGGTTCGCCTCCTTCCCTCTATTTTTCAAATTTCAAACTAAGGAGGAAGAGAAGGCGACGGCTCGCCTTCTGAGATTTCCTATAAGTAGGGATCTCCTTCCCTTCATTCCTTACTTTGCCATTTTTGAGAGAGATTCCTTGAGAGAAAAAGAGAGAGCTCCTGATCCCGACTGCTTGCTTGTGCAAACAGCCTTCAACCTCAATACATTCGGATACCATGTGTTTCGTTGCCCATCTCACTAAGGTATCCTCCTGACTTAGTCAGTTTCTTTGTTTGGATGTTTGGTTATGCTGTAGTTGGCCTTTGCCGTCTGGAGCTTCTTTAGGCAACTTTTATGATAAATTGCGTCTATTTAGAATCTCAGCCGGTTTAAACCGTCTGAGGTATCTTCAAGCAATCTCATTGGTGAGTTGCATTCAATAGACCCTCAGCCGGTTTACACCGTCTGGGGCATCTTCAAGCAACCTCATTGGTGAGTTGCATTCAATAGACCCTCATCCGGTTTACACCGGCCGGGGTATCTTCAAGCAATCTCATTGGTGAGTTGCATTCAATAGATCCTCGGCCGGTTTACGTTGTCTGAGGTATCTTCGAGCAATCTCATTGGTGAGTTGCATTCAATAGATCCTCGGCCGGTTTATGCCGTCTGAGGTATCTTTAATAAAAATTTCTTTTGAACTGCTTCGCTGTTCCCTCAGTCGGTCCCACACCGTCTGGGATATGAGCAAGCAATTCCCTTCTGAACTACTTTGCTGGAACCCCCAACCGGCCTTATACCGTCTGGGGTATCTGTGAACAACCTCTTGATTTATTATTTTAACGGATACACAACCGGCCTTCTGCCGCCTATGTTGGTTTTGTTCAATTCTTTTCGCAAGTTGTCCGCTGATGGACCTCAGCCGGTTTATACCGTCTGGGGATCTTTGGGCAATAATCTTTAATAAAATCTCCAGACTACTTGCTCTGCATATCTACCACAACCGACTTTTCCCGCCTGTGGTATCTTTGGGCAACATTGGTGATTAACTTTTCTTCCTTTTGCCAATTTGCAGTCTGCTCAAAGTGATACCGTCTGGAGTATCGTTGGTCAACAATCTTTCGTCTCCTTTCTCCAAACTTTTCTTCAATTTCAAGGTAACGTCTCGGTTCCTTGCTCTTTGGAGTTTCTTTATTTTTAAATCTTCTGGCTGTATATATTTTAGAATAATGACCTCACCCATCATACACACGGCACACCACAATTTAGAGGCCAGCCGGTCTCCTAGTACGGCTGAGTTTAGGACTGGGGGTGCCGCCTCTGGGTACTGGGAGTCTCCTTGTTCATCTCCGAAACCGACCGTCTATGTCACTGTGCAGGACGCAATGGCTCGAACAAAAAAGACGACATTCGATCCAGAGTACAGAGGAGAAAACTCTGGGGAGTTGTCGCCTGACCCTAATCAGGAAAAGATGACAAGGGGGTCACCGGATGGCACCCCAAGCACTCCCAATGATGGGATTTTTGGTATGGATCAGGGAGGCGGTGAAGATACCGCCTCTCCCCCTAAGGTCGAGCTGGAAAACCCAACAGGGAAATGCAAGCGATGGCGAAACCGCCTCCTCATCCGGCTCAGAACAAAGCGGCAGTAGTAGTAGCCTCTTGACACCGGATGCTGATAGTGAGGCGGAGGAATGGCCTACTTGGAACAATAAAGGCGACCCCTTCCTCATTGTCATCTCAGCTAAGGATAGGGCGAGCATGGCTAGCAATTTAGCAGACTTTGTAAAGGTCCGTCCTCTTGGAGAGGATTGGAGAATAATTGTGCAGCCTGAGATGGGCACTATCGTTTGGGAGGACGAGCAGCCCAACGCAAATGGGTACTTCAGCTGCTATGAGGCGGCGTTTCTGGCTAGCCTCCGCTTCCCTCTTCACAATACAATCAAGGCCATTCTTCGAGGGTATGGCTTGGGTGTCTGGCAGTTAACCCCTAATTCTTGGGTTAACATCTTGGGATACATAGCCGCCTGCGAGATGCCGGAAATCAACCCCGGCTGGGAGGCCTTTGCTCACATGCATTATATGAGTAGAAGCCCAGGCGGTTGGAGATAATAAGCGTACCCAGAAATTGGGTGCCAAAGCATGAATTTCTTCGTGACGATGCGCTTTTGTCCGTCTGTAAGCTTAGCACTCAGTTTGATAAACGTAGGTCACACTAGAGATTGCCGTTATTTTGTGGTTTGTAATGATTCATTTTTTACCCTTCTTTTAACCGGATGGGTTCTTTTGTGCAATGCGTGGCCTAGCTATGTTGCCTGCTGACAAGACGCCTGCTAAGTCAGCCGCTGAAATCCGCAAGGCTAATGCGGAGAAAAAGCTTGCTGCCCAGGCGGCTAAAAATAAGGTATCTTGCTTTTCCTTTCTTTTTCCTTCGATTTTCGTTTAACTTCTTTGCCGCCTGACCTTTTTGTGCGTTGTTTTAGGATGGGAGCAAGGTGCCCCGCTCCGTCACAAAATTAATAAGGCCTCGGCTTGGAGTGGAGCCGCCAATCAAAAATAATGTGAGGAAGACTTGCTCCTTGACAGTACCCAGCCGTCTAACGGTTGGGGGTAAGTCTGTCAAGAACCTTGGCCTGGGGTTTGAACTAACAGCCAGGCAGCCGGATGTCCCCGAGATGGAGACTGCGCCGCCTAGGGCATCTGGCGCCTCTGTACCGGCTGAGGGCAGTCACGACCCTCTGCCAACATCCCAAGGTACTATTGACCCCTTCAACCCTTCTTTGCTTGGCAAGCCTATGCGGGTCAAGTCGCACTCCCAGCTCCGGCCAGAAGACTCTTCTAGCAGCCGGCAGTCCGTAGGAGGGAAGTATGTTGCCTTCTCACCATCTTTTTTTGGTGCAGATCACTCCTCTCGCTGACCGGATGTACAGCAGTACGCCCAGGCCATGCTGAAGGCCATACCCAGAGAGGAGAAGGAGGCGATCCCAGGGATCCACACCTTCAACGCTGACCAGGTTATGGCCGGACTGGCTGAGGTAAACGCTATTCCAATTTGTTTAAGTTATTATGCCGCCTGACCCCTTCTAACACCGCTTGGGCTTTTGCAGTCAATGCTGCGCGTGGAGGGGCTCAAGAAGGCCTACACCCGCAAATGCGAGGAGGTAAGACGTGCTAAACGGGATGCGTCTAAGGCACAATAACGTTGCCCAATATTCCATGATTATGCATGAATTAAAAACTAAAGGCATAATCATGTAACAGGCGGACTCCATCAAAACCCTTCAAAAATCTCTCAATGAAGCCCACACCAAGATTTTCAACCTCCAAGCGGCAAAAGAGAATGTTGAGGCGGATTTGAAGAAGGTGACTGACTCTTCCAAACTTCTGGACCTGGCCAAGAAGGAGAATACAACTCTCCTGGCTGACAACGTCCGTTTGAAGAAGGAGGAGGCCAAGGCCAGCGAGAACTTCAAATCTACGCTGGAGGCTGAACAGAGCCGACTCATTGAAGAGAATGAGCAAGACTGCGCCAACCGAATGTAATTGGCTTGGTCCCTGGTGCACCCGAATACGGAGTACGCCATCTGAGATCTTGCCTACAAATACGCAGATCTTGCCATTGATGCGCAGGAAACAAACCAGCCGGCTCCAGAGCCTTATGAGGAGAGGGTTAAAAAGCAGATCGACGCCATGCAGGCGGAGATCGACTCAGAGGGGGAGAGAACCAGGATGAAAATCAAGAGATAGTCCCCCCTGCTCCAGAAACCGCCTCTAAGGATCCGGCTGGGCCTCAACCTTAAGCTTTATGTCTTCTACTCTGTTTTTTTTTCTCCGGCCTGTGAGCCGTGTATTTCAATGTATCTTTCGCCGGACAAGGGGTCCGGTTGACACTTGAACAAATTTGATGTTATATATATATATATATATATATATATATATATATATATATATATATATATATATATATATATATATATATATATATATATATATATATATATATATATATGCCGACTGAGTCGGTTTTCTTCGCAATACTTGTTCAATGTCCTCCATTTTTGCAACTTATTGAATTTCTGCTATTTGGCATGTTGTTAATATTGCCGTATGTGTTGGCTATGTCTGCCCCTGGACGGGTGGTTGTCTAGTGTTAACACTAAGCAAGTAGCCGTTCATAATTATCCGGATCAATATAACAGGTTTTCCCGGATAGAATGAAATCGGGGTCTATGCGATCGTTTGTATGGGGAGTTGGGGCCGGCTGGGGTGCCTTTGGGCAAAGGCCGGCTGATGACAGAAGTCTGACTTACCGCTTGTATTGCCTTGGGGCGACGAGCAGTTGTGACTTGACATTTAATCTCCCCGGCTGGGTTACCTTGGGGTAATCAGCTAGTTAAGATCTTTCAATATTGCTTAGAAGTCGATTAGTTTTGAAGTCGACTAATGGGCGCGGTAGCCGGCTGGAGTGCTTTTTGGCAATAGCCGACTGCACAACAAGATTTAATTTTACCGTCTGTATTGCCTTGGGGTAATAACCGGCTCTATCTTGTTTGCAACAGGTCAATCGAATGGTCATAAACTTAACCTAGCCGGTTAAGGTCGTCCGACGTTTTGACGCTTAGAACAATGTACCACCCGGAAGGGAGATGTTCTCTTCGATAAATTCACCCGGAAGGGCGTTGCCGGATGCCTGCTCATGGGTAGAGCAGGCGGTTTAAATATGTTGGCTCTGTGCCTTTAAACGGCTAAGTTAGGTACTTAGCATTTCGTTTTTAGTTTGGGCAAACGGGTGCCCGGTTGTTTATTTGCACAAGTAAGTTTTAGAAAATGCTCAGATGTGTTTTTCACATTGGGACTTGGAAGATGCCCGGATGTGTTGTTCTCATTGGGACTTTGATACACAAAAGAATTTGGAATAAAGTATTTCTCTCATTCATTTACTCTATTTACAAAAAATGATTACATCTCCGTAGAAGTAGTACTTTTTCAAGTTAACTACGTTCCAGGTTCTGGGTAGCTTTCTACCGTCTGGGGTTTCTAGGCAGCAGGTTCCGCCTCTGACTTCGTCAAAAATCCAGTAGGGGCCTTCCCAATTGGGGGTTAGCTTTCCCTGCTCATTTGCCCTACCGGTTGCTTCCATTTTTTGTAACACAAAGTCCCCAACTTTGAGGGGCCGCTTGTGTACTCTTTTGTTGTAAGCCCTCGTCATTCTCAGGCGGTATATCTCATGACGCAAGGCGGCGTTGCCCCTGCGTTTTGGGAGTGAATCCAATGCTAGGCGCATGGCCTCCGAGTTAGCCTCTTCATCATAGAGCATAACTCGGAGTGTTAGCTCATAAAGTTCAATTGGCAAGACAGCTTCAGTGGCATACACTACAAGAAAAAGGCCAGATTCCGACGGACATCTTCCGACGGACACAAAATTCCGTCGGAAATCCTGTATATTCCGGCGGATTTTATTCCGTCAGAAAGTTTCGACGGATTTCCTACGGAATAAAAATCCCTCGGAATTTATGGGCTTTCCGACGGAATATTTCGTCGGAACATTTATATTCCGACAGATTTTATTTCCGTCGGATGTGTCTAACGGATTTTTCCGTCGATACATTGAATTTCCGATAGAATTAAAATCTGTCGGAAATTTCCGACGGAATATTCCGTCGGAATCTTATTTTAAAAAAAAAGAAAAAAAAAACTAAACCCTAAAAATTGGTTCCCCTCGCCCAACCCTATTCAATTCTCTTTCCTCTTCTCCTCTCTCTCCGCCTCTCTGCTTCTCTTTCTCTCTCCTCTCTTATTCTCTTTCACCTTTCTTCGTTCTTTCCCCTTCTCTTTTTCTCATTCTCCTTCTCTATCTTCTTATAGATCTCCTCCTTCTCTCCTCTTCTTTCCCCTTTTCTGACCACAACATAAGTAACCACCGCGCAACGACAACAACAACAACCACACCAGCAGCAACGACAACAACGACAACACGCAGCAACGACAACAACATCATTGTAGATCTAGTTTTTTTTTAAACAATTCTGATTATAATTTTTTTTTGATATAATTGTAATGTTATTTTTTATCAATTTCAGATTAATTGTATATTTTATATATTTTGTTCGATTTCAATTGTTTTTGTTTATTTTTTTTCGCATCTTTGAATTTATTTGCGTTTTTTTAGATTTTTCTTTTTTTGCGATTTCAGTGGTTGTTGGTGGTGGTTGTTTTGGACAGGTGAGGTGGGTGTGGGTGGGGGTTTTTCTAGTCAGGTTGGGGTAGTGTGGGTGGGGGTGGTCTGGGTGGGTATGGGTTTTTCTGGGCAGGTGGGTGTGGGGGTGGTCAGGGTGGGGTGTGGGTGGGGGTTTTTCTGGACAGGTGGGGTGGATGTAGGTGGTTGTGGGTGGGGGGTTTTGTGGCAGGGTGGGGGTGGGTGTGGGTGTAGGTTGTTGTGGGCGGGGGGGTTTTCTGGGTAAGGTGGGGTAGGTGTGGGTGGGGGTGGGTGGGGGTTGTTCTGGGCAGGGTGGGGTTGGTGTGGGTGGGGGGTGGGTATGGGTGGTGGGTATGGGTGGTGGTTGTTCTGGGCAGGGTGTGGTGGGTGTGGGTGGGTGTGGGGGGGGGGGGTTTTCTGGGCTGGTGGGTGGGGGTGGGGGTTTTTCTGGGCAGTTGGGTGTATGTGGGGGTGGTTAGGGTGGGTTTGGGTGGGGGTTATTTTAGACAGGGATGGGCTGTTTTTTTTTAAAAAAACTTTTCCGAGGGAATATTCCATCGGAAACCTCTCCAACTACAACGGAAATTTCCGTCTGAACGTTGCGTCAGATTTTCAATTAAAGTCAAAAAAGCGCCGACAGAAATAAATCCGTCGGAAACATGCCTTCCGACGGAAATTCCATCGGAAAAGGTCAAATTTTCGACAAGGGCCACTGCGACAGACTTATTCCGACGGAATTCCGTCGGAAGGCTTGTTTTCGACGGAATTTTCAATGATTCCGACGGATTTTTTCCGTCAGAATAAAGCTGTTTTCTTGTAGTGGTATGTCATGAGAAACGGGGTTTCACCGGTTGCCCCCTTTTCAGTTGTTTTGATGGCCCAAAGGACGTGAGATAACTCATCCGCCAAAAGACCACCGGCTCTTTCAATCTTCTTTTTTATGCCGTCTCAGATGAGTTTGTTGAAGGCTTCAACTTGACCGTTTGCTTGGGGCCGACCAACAGATGCAAAACAATGTGAGATCCCCCGATCTTCCAACCAATCCTTGAGGGCAGACGTTTTGAACTGAGGACCGTTGTCAAAGACCATAGACATAGGCACCCCAAACCGGGTGATGATGTTCCTCCAAATGAAGGAGATGACGTTCTTTGTCTTGATGCCTTTGACCACCTCGGCCTTAACCCACTTAGTGAAGTAATCTACAGCCACCAGAATGTATCTCCTGCCGTCTGTGGCAGGCGTATAAGGACCCAAGATGTCCATGCCCCATTTCGCAAAGGGAATCGGGCTGTAGATAGCCGTCAGATCTGTTGCCGGACGGTGTATGAGCCGGCCAAACTTCTGACACTTGTCACACTTCTTCACTAAATCCATGGCGTCTGCCTCAAGAGTAGGCCAAAAGTAGCCTTACCTCCTGGCTCTCTTTGCTAGAGTCATGCCGCCTATGTGTGAAGCACAAAAGCCCGCATGCAGATCCTCTAGCACCTCCTTTCCCCTCTTTGGGGTAACGCACTTCAGCAACGGCTGGAGGTAACCTTTTCTGAAGAGTTCCCCCTTGTACATTTCAAAGCTTAGAGCTCGCTTTTTAAGTGTTGCCGCTTCTGATGAGGCATCTGGCAAAGTGTCGTCTACCAGATAATCCCGGATGGGGTCCATCCAGGTAGAGATTCGGTCAAGGATTCCAATGGGATCATGCTCAATGCTTCTTTTTTCCATAACCTCCCAAGAGACTGACCTAGGCGTATCACAAGTGGCGGATGAGGCCAGTTTGGACAAAGCATCCGCCTGATTGTTCTCTGATCGGGGCACTTGACTCAGATAGAATTCGTCAAATGTCCCCGCCTCATCTTTGACCACCTGCAGGTATTTGATCATTGCCGGATGGGTGGCCTCATAGTTACCATTGAATTGGCTAACAATCAATTGATTGTCCGAGCAGGCGTCAACTTTTCTTGCCCCTGCCGCCTTACACATGCGTATACCGGCTAGCAGGGCCTCATACTCAGCTTCATTGTTTGAAGCTTGAAATTTGAACCGTAGTGCATATTCGTATGTATCCCCTTCCGGAGATTTGCAAATCACGCCAGCACCACAGCCGTTTACTGTAGAGCTTCCGTCTACGAATAACTTTCAAACCTGATCGGTGTTTTCCGGCTGAGCCGGCCTAGTCATTTCAACAATGAAGTCGGCAAACGCCTGACCTTTCACTGCCCGTCTAGATTCAAAAGCTATCTCCAGGCTTTGCATTTCAACATCCCACTTGATCATTCTGCCGGATGACTCTATGGTAGTCATTGGATGTTTGAGTGGTTGATCAGTGTAGACAGTCACCGGATGGGCCAA